CTCTCTCTCTTCCTCTCTCTCTCTCTCCTTCTCTCTCTCTGTCTCTCTATCTATCTCTCTTTTTCTCTCTCGCTTCGCCACCCGCCTCTATCGTTTACGATCACGGTGTGCCTCGTATACACACGGCGAACCTTACGCTACTCTTTATCTTTCCTCCCCCGGGGGGTTTCCCGAAGGCGCCTGTATTCCGCCCTCGACTCGCTCGCGTTTCCTCTCGCGTGCACGGCGGATCTCTCTCCTGTGGCACGGATGTTGCTCGTGATACCGTGGACCGAGTGATTCTCTCGCACCTTCACACGTTCACTTCACGGCTTCTTTCACTGCCCGCGAAACCATAGCTACTACACGCGCACTGTGTGCCGCGACGGTGCTGCTGGTCCAACGTTGACTCGTTCCGTGTGATCCGCTTGTATAAAAGTACGAGGTACAGAGATACGGATAGGAGATGCCTCTCTTCTCTGTCTCGCTCGCTCTCTTTTTATCTATCCGTCTATCTGTCCGTCTGTCTCCCTCTCTCCCTCTCTCGGCGAACGTCGAGCGTGCCTAGTAGCTTTCTAGGACCGACGTTTAAGCATAGAAAGACTCCGCGGGGGAGAGGGGCGGGCTCCCCGAGCACCACCAGTTACAAAATATCACGGGGCAACTGTGATTTCTCTCGTAACACCCGCGGAGATTTATCGGTGCATGCCTCTCTCGGTGATCGATGCCGGAGAGGATCGGTCGGAAACGTTTCACGGGGGGATGTCGTTCGTCGGAGGTGTCGCGCGGTCTCGGCTACGATTACGTACGCGGATAATTTCGTTTATGGAGGCTCCGTGTCCGTAGGGCTTGCACGATGACACTTGGGTCACTAATTGATCCACTCGACGAGGTGAACACGGGCCGAGCGGCGGCGAACGTGGACACGGCCAGACACGGTTTCGGTACACCTTCGAACGGGAGAGTTACGCGGCGGCGATGATGGATGGTGACGGTCGGCCCGAGCCACTTCCGAATCTTCGGTTCGAACACTGGGCGAGAGAGAACCGGCCGCGAGACACTCGCGGCAGGTTGCGATATAGAGGGAGGTACGCACGAGGCACGAGACGAGCGACTCGAGAGAGAGTGGGAGCGAGACCGGGACTGGGATAATAGGTTGACGTGCACTATCGTCCGATGCGCCTCCTGTGATGGCCCGCCAACACGAGACGACACACGCGAAATCGTTTTCAGGAGGAAGGGACCACGGCGTCGCGTGTACACGACAGCTCTTCGGCCTCGCCTCGCCTCGCCTCGCCTCGCCTCCCAACCTCCCTGCTACCACCTTTCGGCCAGAACAACGAGAAGTTAAAATAGATCGGCTCCGGTACGCTGCTTAGCCTCCGTTCTGTTGTTCGAGCGAATCGGTGGAACTCACGGAACACCGAGCAGCCCAGGCTCTCTTGCTCCTATCCGTCGTACAGGGAAGACGACCGTGTGTGCGACTAGTTTTCTATTTTCTTTTTTCTTCCTTCTCTCTATGGCTCTTCCCGACAGCCCCCTCCAAGCCCTCCTGTAGCTCGCGAACCACCGAGCGAGGCGAATCCCCACGATCTGAATTTTCTTCTGATTTTCGGTCTCCGACTCTCCTCGATTTTTCGAGGGCTCGTCCGGGTTCCCC